ACCCCTCCCCTTCAGCCCAGACAGCACCTCCACTTCCACAACACTCACCAAAAATTCGACCCCAAAAATTCATTTCTGACCATGAAACTCCTTTTTCAGAGGTATTTTTGGCCATCCCTGAGGCCAAGTCCTGCCTGGAACATGGATCCTCTCCTGCTTTCCCATCAGTCATGGAGACAGAACAATGGGAAAAGTCAATGCCATTCCCCCCTCTTTGCTGTTTGCCTCCTGGATGGGAACTCACTGGAGCAGGAACTGGGGAGAATTCCAACTGCTCAGGGGCTTTACCACCAATCCTGAACTCACAGGGAATGACAGGCCAGAGCAGACAGTAAATATGGAAAATGCTGAAGGAACACCTCTTCTCCCAGGGAACGGGTGACAGGTTGAGAGGAAACGGCCTCAAGTTGAGCCAGGGAGGTTTTAATCAGATATCAGGGAAAATCTGTCCCATGGGAAGGGTTGTAAAGCCCTGGCACAGCTGCCCAGGGCAGTGGTGGAGTCCCCATCCCTGGAAGTGTTCACCAAACGTGTGGATGTGGCACTTGGGATGGCTGTGGACGTGGTGGTGGTGCTGGGCTGATGACCTTAAAGGTCCTTTCCAACCTTAACAATTCCATGATTCCATGGTGGACACCTCGCTGCTGCAGTGAGAGAAAGGGACCCCCAGGGGCACCCAGGGATGGGACAAGAGGCAACAACACGAAACAAAGCACCATGGATTGAAAGGAGATACTACAGGGAAAGCTTTTTCCCCCCTGGAAACTCAGCCCTCGTGGGTCCTGTGGAACTTCCAGCCTTGGAGACACGTGAAGAAACCTGCTCTGGGTCACCAGCTGTGCCAGAAACCTGCAGACAACCCTTCCAGCCTCGATTATTCCATAATTCTGCGCATTATTTTGGCCAGTCACAGCATGTGAGGGCAGAGAAATCCCTGCTTAGAGATCCCTCATGTTTTCCCTCTTTTCCAGGGGAGGCCCATCCAGATGGCTCGTGGATGCTCACAGCTGTAATCTCTCTCCCTGGTCAACTAATCCCCGAGACTGAATAATAGGAAACAAAATAAATCCCGAATTGTCCCTTGCTCCCAATTCTCCTCCTTCCCAGCTGTGCCGAGCACAACGTGGGCTCTTCGTTCCGGAGGTAATTTCGGATCCCTTTAATCTCCTCCTCCCATAACAGGGTTCATCAGAGGAGCCAGTTCCCCCTGGGATTGCCTCCTCCTGGTAAGGACAAGCTCAGGCTCCCCTCCCTGCCCGGATGAGGTTCAGAGCCCTGGAACATTCCGGGTTGGGAGAGACCTGCAGGACCATCGAGGGTGGCCGAGCCCTGTCCCTCCTCACCCTCAGAGGATGGGGGAAGGCTCTGGTTGCCCTCTGGTGACCTTGGGTGCATCCCAGGCTTTGGAGCAGCCTCGTGCTTGGTCTTTAGCAGCAGTTACAGCTCCAAGGGACATCAGGGAGAGGTGGGAACCCACCCAAGGGGAGTTTCTCCCTCAGCTCATCCCGACCGTCCGTGGTGAAGTCACATCTCAGAGGCCTTGCTGCCCCAGAGGCCAATTCCACACCCAGACCCCGACCTCTGTTCTGATGTTGTCTGTTCTGATACCTGTTCGTGCCCCCAAATGTCCCACACACCCCAAGCTCTCCGTTCACCTCGTTAAGCCAAAGAGAGGAAATCCCATCCCATCCCCAGCTCCATCGGCCAGCCCATGGCTGCTGCTCCCTGTTCCACGTCCCGGGGCATCCACTCAGCCCTGGCACTGCTTCCAAAGCTCTCCCTGGAATCCAAACCTGCCGGGGTGGAATTTTCTCGAGCACTTTTCTAAGTTGCTCCTCAAACGCTGTCATTATGTTAATCCTCTCCCACGGCTGAGACCTGAAGTGAAGTTGGGGATGATGGGATAAGCTCCCTCCTGGAAATGGTGCTGCTGACGTGCTGCAGTGATCCCACAGCACCCTGGTTACTTCTTAGCTCTGCTCCCAAGGGATCTGTTGGCCCGAGTGCTTCAGGGTTAAAAAAAGCGGGGGAAAATCCAGGTTTTTTTCCCAATTTGTTATGGTGAGTCCTCACACCACACTCAGAGCAACCTGGGCACGAACCATGAGCCTTAACCTGGGCCTTCAGGACTTCCTTTCTCCTTTCCTGTGTCCACCCTGTATTTTGGCACAGCAGGAGCAGAGGACACAGCAGCAGCTCCTCCACTGCTCCACCCAGCCAACCCCAGCACCTTCTCAGAATCCCAGGATCCCTGAGGCTGCAAAAGCCCTCCCAGCCCATGGATCCACCCTGGGCCCCATCCCCACCTTGTCCCCCAGCCCAGAGCACTGAGTGCCACGGCCAGGCCTTCCTGGGACACCTCCAGGGATGGGCACTCCATTGCAGGAGGGGAGTTCAACCACTCCAGCTGCACATCACTGGGAAAATGAAGGGAATAACGACCCATTAAAGGCTCTAAAACACAAGGACATCAACTCTGGCTCAGGAAGACTCTGAGCAGGGCACTGAGTGGTTTATTCTGCTCCCAAACCTGCACAAAGCACCTGCCACGGGCCACCACGATCCCGACCTGAGGGACCTGCAGCTCCAGCTCCTCGTGCCCTGATCACCTGAGCTGGGAAGGATCCACCAGGATCACGCAACTCCAGCTCCTGGTGGAGCTCCACAAGCACCCACCACCCCAGAGGGGTGCAGCTCAAACCCTCCCATGAGCTCCAGGTCACCCCCCAAGACCTGTGGGTGTCACAGCCAGTGGTGGCACCAGCAGGTCCCAGCCAGGCTCCACCAGCTCACCAGGACTTTGGCAGGCCCTGGGCTTGGGAAGAGATTATCTGTGAGGTCTCTTCCAACCCAAACCATTCCATGGTTCCATGGACTGCCTGGGAATGCCAGGACCAACTGGATCTGCAAGAAGACAGGGATGACTGGGGTGCAGAAGAGGCTTGGAATCCTGCAGACAGTCCTGGAGGAGTCCAGGATGGAAAGACCTGCTCAGGGTGCAGGTAAGGGCACACACAACCTCCTTCCCTGCCCTGTGAGGACCTTCTGGGGAAATGGAGCCACTTGGAGCCAAACTGCCCCCACAGAACATCCCCACCCTGCTCCCAGAGCCCTCTGTCCTGAGGGACTCAGCTGGAAATCAGGTGGGACAGGGGCTCACCCACCCATGGGATATGACTCCATTCCATCCTTCCTCCTCCACACAGGCTCAGAAGCTGCACCAGGAGGCTCCCAGAGCTCCTGAGCTTGGAAGGAGGTCACCCAGTCCAACCTCCTCGCTGCAGGAACATGCTCAGGTTGCCCAAAAAGGTTGTGGTTACCCCCTGGAAGTGTCCAAGGCCAGGACGGAGGGGCTTGGAGCAACCTGGGCTAGTGGAAGGTGTCCCTGGGGTTGGAACAAGATGGGTTTTAATGTCCCTTCCCACCCAAACCATTCTGTCATTCCATGATATCCATAATTATTAATTCACAATTCTGGAGGGTTTTTTTTTTTCCTTTCCAAACAATTCCACAAACTCAATTTGCTTCTGGAGGTTTGGCCTGGAGTCAAAGCAATCCCCAAAGGCTGAGCAGAAGTCAGTCCAACACCTCCCTGCACGTGAGATCCCACTCCTGGTTCTTCCCCACAGAATTTGCTTCTCACTTTTCCATGCTGGGATTCAGCTGCTGTTTATCAGGACCCTCCTCCCCAGCTGCTTCAATTCCACTCTCTCACCTCCTTGGGCTGGTTGTGAAGCCTCAGTGCTCCAGCAGATGTTTGCCCTGTGATGTCACGGTGACATCAGACCTTTATTCCTGAGGAACTGCAAATCCTGGGCAAGAGCTCCTCACAGTGTTTCTCCTGGTGTGCGTTCCCTTCCGTGTGCCAAAATAAATCTCTTTTACTGTCACACTGTTTATCAACCCCGTTTGATCCAATCCCACCCACCTGCTCTTCCCTCGCTCAAAGAACAGCATTTTCACTCATTTTCAATTTTTCACCCATTTCCTGCTCTTTAAGACCAAGAGCCACCAGTGACCCCAGCACAGACCTTCTGGGGGTACCCTGGAGCCTTTGGCCACGGTGGAAGCAGATCATTTTTTCCCCTTTTTTTCTCTTCTTTAGTGTTTTCTGAGCCACAGCAGCACTTTCCCTCTCACTCCAGTACCAACAGCCCTGAAGTAGCAGATCCCGGGATTTTGGGAAATCCAAACAAGTGACACACATTCCTTGGAGTCAAACCAGAGCCAGGCAGACAGAATCTGGGATGAGCAGCCCAGTCAGGCAGGACACACTCTGTGGGAGAGCTCCAGGAGTTCAGCAGACATTAATTTTTGTCCAATGGCTCCTCACGACTCGCTCCTGTCACACCAGGAACAACCACCCCCAGCCAGATCCCTCCAGGAACAGCAGCTCTGAGGAGCATATTCCAGAGTGTCCCTACGTTCATCCCTCAAACACAGAACCCCAGTGCCACAGCACGCTCCCGAATCCAACCATTCCCAGATCCCGGCCGCGTCCGACAGGACAAAGAACCAGCAACGCCACCTCTGCTGTCCCAGCTCATCCCCTGGGCACTCTGACCACCTTCCCAAAGGTCTGGCCTCTCACCATGCCAGGGTGAGCCTGCTCAGGTGCCACGTCCCAGGATATCCCTGGAGAGCACCTCAAAGCCCAGGAACACCCCCGGCACATCCGAGCGCTCCGGTGCCCCCAGGCCATCCCTGCACACCAACCTCCTCCTCTCCCCCTCAGAGCCAAGCTGCACCTGCACCCAAACTGGGTTCTTCAGCCCCTGGAGAACCCCAAAACTTCTCCAGAACGTTCCATCCTCAACTGAGACACGAGCCAGGCTCCCTGTTCACCTCAGCCTCAGCCAGGACTTGGAGTTTAGGCTATAACTGACCAAACCAACCAGGAAAGTTTCCTTCCCACGGACACAAAATGCTCTGTCAGGAGAAACAGAGACTTTTTCCATGGAAATGAACCTCCTTGGGATGCCAAAGGTGCTGCTCCTTACCTGTGAGAGGTGAAGGTGTCGTAAGAGCCCACAGTATAGTGTCGGAAGAGCCGCTTGGTTCTGTCTTCTCTGGTTTCTGCAAGGAAAAAGACACATCCCAAATCACTTCCCTGTGCTTTCTGCTTCCCTGACGGGGCCACGAGCCGAGTGAATCCCGTTTCCATGCAGGAATTCCATCAATAAATAATGATGTGTGAGGGAGTGATGGGCCCCGTGCCCGTGCCCAGCCCTGCAGGCACACACACAGCTCCCGGGATCCTTCCCGGATCCCTCCTCAGATCCCGGCCCCAAAACTCCTAAACCACATCAAGGCATTCCCATTTCACCGAGTGGAGTCAAAGAGGAGCCCTCAGATGGGAGAGGCAAACTCAGCTGCAGGTCCCAGGGGAGCAGCCACGTTCCTGCCCCGCTTCCATCCGGACACGTCCCCCTCCCACCCCTCGGCACGGAGGGACGGGGCTCCCCCAGGAGGGGTGGCAATAACCCTGAGAGCCTTCCTGCTCACCTGGGGGTCACCAGCTCTCTGGGCACGGGGGATTCACGAGGAAGGAAAGCTGGGAATGCAGAGAGATGCCAGGAACTGCTTCCTTATGGAAACCTAGCACCACTCTCCAGCACAGCCACGGCGCCCGGAACACCCCGAGGGGCTTCTATTCCCCAGTGCTTCTATTTTTCCACGTGTTTTCCATGCACACCACGGGGCCCAGGTGCATAATCCATAAACAAATCCGTGGAGGGGGAAATGTGCTCCAAACTCCCAATTTACCGAGGGGGACGTGATGGGAACAGGGAGATCCCAACCCGTGGGAATTGCGGCATCCCGGGAGTGCTGGGGGTGCTCTGGAAACCCCCCAGGAGGAGGTGGGTGCACAGAGACCCCCCAGCAGGGACAAGGACAGTGGGGTGAGCGAGGTGCAGCTCGGGAGCATTCCCAGTGATCCAAGGTGTTATTCCAGCCCCACGTGTGTTACCCAGTCTGGAAGGAGATTTCCCGGAGCCTGACGGAGCGGGGGGATGTGGGGGCTCCCCACGAAGCTTCCGACCGGGGGGTCCTCCTGTCCCTGAGCTCCTGGGAGAAACTGTCCCAAAGAACCATGGAATTCATCTTACTGGAAAGGAATTACTCTTACTGGAAAGGAATTACTGGAAAGAAGTCGTGGACTGATAAACGCAGGAGGAGTCAAAGGAGGGAAACCTCCACCTGGATCAGCCCGGGAAGCCCCTCACCATTCCCACCCCGCTCCGGGGGGTTCCCAGCCCTGAGCTGAGGGGGAAATTCCCAGGGAAAGGAGGCAGCTGCCTGGGAATGCCTGGGAAGCTCCGGCTCCGTTGCTGGGAGTGCCCAGAGGACGGCAGCAGGGAGCAGCCTCGGCTCCAGCACTGCTGCTCCGAGCCCCAAACGCTTCCCAGCGGGAACGAGGTGGGATGGGGAGACCTGGAAAATAACCTGAAACATCGGGATAACTGTTGTTGGTCGTGCCTGGGAACGAGGTGCAAGCTACGGTGATGTACAAGCTGGCAGGGATGCATGGAAAATGGGAATGGGAGGGAAAGAAGGGAAGGAAGAAAGGGAGGGAAAAAGGAAAGGAAAAAGAAAGAAAGTAAAAAGGAAAGGAAAAGAAAAGAGAGAAGGAGGAGAGGGAGGAGAAGGAAGAGAAGGAGAAAAAGGGAAAGAAGAAAGGAAAAGGAAAAGGAAAAGGAAAAGG